AGCGGAGGGCCCACATGCTCCGTGCATGTCCCCTGACCCAGATGTGGAGATTATCATGTGTTGTTCAGGCCATTGGGGTGGTTGGAACCCCATTCTGTCTATCTCTGGGTCCATCGACAAAGTGCTGACCTTGCCCGTCTGCTCCCTGCTAGCCATTGGCCGTGTTACACCTCCAGCCTTACAGGTGCCTCAGGTGCTGCTACGTACGCTATGTTCTCTCTGTTCATGTTCACATGACCAGCCCGCAGTTTCTAGTTCCAGGTACCTGCAGTGAATTGCCATCTGGAAATATCATGCAAAACACTCCCGAAATAACCGGCTCTTAAGTTCTGTGCGTTTCTTGAGTAGGGAAACCCACCCTGAGAAGTGAGTCATCCGTCTGCCCAGCCCATCCACTCTGTGTACTCCATCTGCCCAGAAGTCACTGGGCTGTTGTCTGCCATCGGGTCATCTGGCACAGTGCTTGTGCCCAAGACCAGCCGTGTTTCCTTAGAGCGACCCCCAATCAAGAGTCAGGATGCTGACCACTCAGATTTGTCAAAAACGTATGGCCAAGTGCTTCTCCTAGATTCGAGGTGAAAGTTTCTGAATTGATAAGAAAAGAGAAACAGCTGACTGGCAGTTGTTTCTAAGCTCTGTGCTAGGAAGGAATCTCCCCGCCAAGCCGTGCAGGAGGGAGGTTGGGACTTGTTTTGTTGGCATATCTCAAGCTGCAGTGGTTGTAGGCACAGCTTGTGACAAGGCACAGAGAATAGCTCTGTCTGTCAAGCGTCTGCTGGGGGTCGTGCAGCCGCCCTAGGAGAGTTGGTGATGGCTGCATAAAACAGCACCTTGGGGCCAGGGATGGAGCTCGGCCGAGCTTTCCTAGCACACGCAAAGCCCCAGATTTGATCTCCAGTCCTGCATAGCCTGGCAGTTCATGCCTTGTAAACTCAGCACTTAGGCAGTTGAGGCGGGAGGATCAGAAGTTCAAGGTCGCCCTCAGCTACATCCAAGACCAAGGCCAAGCTGTCATACATGAAACACCCTGTCTGAAAAGATAAACAAACAACAAACAAACAAAAACACACTTCCGGGTTCCCGACTTCACAGTGGGCTTGTAGGCTGCATGCAGCAATTCATCCTGGGGGACCAGGAAAGCCAGGCTCCGAGCATGTAATCTGCTTGCTCACAGTTGCACCAGCAGTGCGTGATGCAGCCAGGCCTCCACTCTGGCACTCACGCCCTTGTGTCCCGAGTATCTCTTGTGAGGGGATGTTTAGAAGTCTCGGGGGGCTCTCTGACATGGCCAGACACCTCCGCCATCTCACCTGTGTCTTTCCTGTGAGCATCGGTTATGCGTCTTTGTGCTGTTTGCTCATGCCTGCATCATGTATGTCCTCCCCGGCTCCTCACACAGCTGCTGACGAGATTCACCAGTTTTACGTCCCCGGGTACATTCTGTACTAGCAGCAGGGAACTCCAATTCTGTCCTGTTCCGAAGGAGAGGAAGTCATGCCAGTGAGTGTGACGGTGCTTCCGGCTCGTTTTTCCAGAGGCCCCAGTGCACCAGACCCCACTGACTGTGGAATGTCAGCTGGTGCATCTCAGTGGCCCCTGCGTCCACCAGATCCGTTGCCGAAGTGGCCCTCATGTTATTTGAAGGAATCAGGGAGAAGTGGGGGAATGCTGTTGAGTTCCAGGCCAGCCTGGGCTGCAGAGTGAGACTGTATCTCTAAACAAGTACAGAGGGTCTGCGAGAGGGCTCTGTGGGTAAAGGTGCTTGCTGCTAAGCCTGACAATTGAGTTTGATCCCTAGGACCTACGTGGTGGAAAGAGAGAACTGATTCCCCATGTTGTCCTCTGACTTCTGCATACTGACCATGCTGCACAGTGGCATGTTCACATGTAGACATGCATGTATACACACACACATATACATACAGAAAATAAACGAATACATTTAATTTTTTAAGTATAGAACTTATCATTGTATACTAGTGAGTTCTCCACACTTGGGAGTCTCCGAGCACCTCTCTGGTGCCGCTGCCAGATTTCTTGACAGGGAGGAGAAGGCTGTTGGCTCAGCAGAAGTCCTTACTACACCATGGCCACACCTTGAGAAGGAACTAGCTAGAATGCCCGGACTTACCCATGTGGGCAAAGTGCTGAGCAATTTCAGATGGTCTTGCACATGTGTGTCCCACGCCAAGGGCAGACTCTCAGCTGCCCATTGCTGGGATTTGGGGAAATTGCCAGTTTCAGGAGAGCAAGATCCAGGCCTAGCTTTGAGTCCTGGTCATCTCCAGGCCTGCACAAAAGGTGGTACGCACCAATAACCACAAACTTATATCCCAGAACACAGCAGTTTCCAGCTGCACTTATCAATGCTGGTGAGGAAGGTCTTTTATAATTAGTGTCTCTTCCTAATTTAATTTTATGTTCAGTACCCCCCCTCCAAAAAAAACCAGGACATCTGTAATTCCAGTAAATGCTTTATTTTTTGAAGATTCATTTCTTTTTATTTTATGTACAGGAGTTTTGTGTACATATGTAAGTATATGTGCACCACATGTGTGCCTGGTGCCTATGAAGGCCAGAAGAGGGTATCGGATCTCCTGGAACGATTATAGACTGTTGTAAGCCACCATGTGAGCGCTAGGACCAAACATAAGAGCAACCGGTGCTCTTAACCACTCAGCCATCTCCCCAGCCCTAGTAAATGCATACTGTTCTCTGTATTAGTCGCTTTTATTGTCACTAAGACTAAATACATGACATGAAGCAGCTTAGAGGTTTCTGCTAGCTCAGTGCTAGGCCGACACAGTGGCAGCAGGAGCAGCCCAGGCCTTGGCAGTGGGGGAGGAAAGTAGCTGGTTACGCTGTGTCGACAGTCAGAAAGCAGAGAGCTCAATAGAAAACAGAGACCAGGATGTAATCCTCAAGGCTAGCATACCACTCCCTTCAAGAAGGCCCCACCTCCAGAAGGTTCCATAACCTCTCAGAACAATGCCACCAGCTGGGGACCAACTGGCCAAACACACAAATGTGGAGAACATTTTGCGTTCTAACCACAGCCTACAGAAATAACCATTTGAGTACATAGTCAGCATGTTTATATAAACCATGCTGGCTGAAGCTAGAGGAGCAGAGGCTTAGACCATCCTCATGGCTCCCAGAGAGTGATGGACATTGCAACTAATTGCTTCAGCAGGTTCTTGAACCCTAGGTGAAAACACACCAGCTGATGTTTTGACTTCAACCTTGTGGGCCATGAACATAAGAGCTACCTATGCCTCGCACAGGCTCCCCTCCTGTAGCATTGGGTACCAACATATACGTCTGTGGTACATGCAGTAATTTTTAAAAACCCTGGAGCATAGTGTTTCTGAAGCTAAGTGTGGATGTGTGTAGAGTCAGCTACGAATTACAGAAGATCCATGCTGGCCAGGACCCACCAACTTCACAACCAGTGAACCCAGTGGCTCTCTTGTCCTGCACCATTTCTCAGTGAAGTAGTGCTCATGCCTTTGAAGGTTTTCTTGCTAAGTCATATTCCTGTGCATCGACCTAAACACAGAGTTGAGCCTCAAGGACACCTGTGCTTGGTAGGTGACCTCCTAAACTCATCAGACAGGATGGATCCTGACATGGTAGCTGTGTCTTCCACATGTTCCCTCTGGGTGTTTCTCAGAGAACATTATTGGTATCCCAGCTCCTAGCAGTTCTGGCATAGTCAGATTGCTCCAATGTCAGCGTGTTCTGCAGGGCAGAGCAGGACAGGCATAGGAGAGTGATAACGCCTGTTGATCTGTCTACAGAAGTCTCTGAGCATTCCCAAGGAACTTCTCCTCTCCTTCAGGGAGGGGACTAGTCAGTACCCTACATTGAACCCATCCTCTTCCTCACATCCACTCCTTTGGTGGTGAGCATGGAGCTGGTAGGGACTGTGTGTGAGGGACGGCTCCTCAGCTCAGCACACCCTCTTTGATTACCTGGCCCTTGGAGAGTGACTGACCTCCATTGTGTCTCTGGAATGGTGAGACAGATGAGGCCTGTTCTGCCTGTCTTTGAGCTGACTAGTCATTTTGCCCAGTGGGCAGTACCCATACAAGAGCATGCCTAGCCCTTGAAGTGACCCTTGATTCTTTTTTTTGTGATTTTTGTTTATGTTTGGGAACTTAGAAGCAGGGTTTGCCTCATGTTGACTGCCAGTTTTGCCATCCGTAACTGCTCATTTCCTGCCTAGACTTTTCCAAACAGAAGGCTCCAAGGTAAACATCCAGCTGCTCAGGTTTTGGGTTGCCGTGGTGGTGACCTTGGACTGCATGGGGCTGATGAGACAATGGGGTGATCTCCCCTTCTTCTCTGACCCCATGTTTCCTGCAGCCTCAGGCTATGGTCCATGTTACCCTTGGCTCTCTGACCTCTGTGCATTTCCATTCAAGATCTATGTCCACCTGAAGGAAGGTGGTGGCCCGGATGGCCTGGACGCTCTGAAGAACAAGCCACAGCTCCATAGCATGGTGGCCCGGAGCCTGTGCCGGAACGCAGCTGGGAAGAATTATATCATCTTCACAGGGCCCAGCATCACCAGCCTCACCCTGTTTGAAGAATTTGAGAAGCAAGGTTTGTCCAGTGGTCGTCCCAGCATGGCCGGCTCCTTGGGGAAGTGGTAAGAGGGTGGAGAGACAGGAGTAGTGGCTGGCACAGCCTGCGTAAGCATCTCAGCCGCCCTGTGTCTGGATTCTGGTGCTCTCAAGGTGTGTGAGTCCTGGGCTCGCCATCTAGAGACGGCATTGGCACAGAGCTCTGCCAGTCTTCTGAGAACTCCTGCATGTGTCCTTTGCTGTGTGGTTCTGGCCATCAAAGGCCTGAAGGAAAAGCCCCTAGTAAAAAGGATCTGAAAAGTATGGGAATCATCCACCATCACTAGCGAGTCTCCTTCCCTTCTGGCAGAGATCTGTGTGGTCAGGAACAATCCCATGGGCCTCAGAAAGGTCTTAGGCTTCTTGTGGCAAGAGGTTCTGTTCGTTCTTTGCAGACTGGATAAGCCTCCCATGGCTTTGACAGAAGTTGGATGTAAAAATGAAGACCTAAATGCTAAGCTGTGCTTGGAGACAGCTCAGAAAGTGTCACTCATAGACAGAAGCTGCTAGAATTGAGGCATTTTGCTGTGCTACACAGTGGACACCAGGCCTTCACACTGAACCCTCTTGTATTGTGGAGGAATAAGCAGCTTACATCCTGGGCCTTGGAAGCTGTGTAGAAGTGAGGGAGCAGCCCACCTCTGTGCATTGCAGGCTAGGTCAGGGTGACCCTCTGCACTGGCCAGTGCAGGCAGGCTCAGAACCCAGCAAGAGATCAGACTAGGAGGGAAGGAACGCTGCAGGAGCTGATCCTAGAACACAGGACCCAGCTGCTCGGAGGAGCTCTGGCTCTCCGTGAAGCGCAGTGGGGAGCTGGCCTGCTGCCTGAGCACATGTGTCTATGGAGGCATGTATTAGAGGTGTAACCTCTGATGGTGTGTGCGTAT